GAAAATACTTGGGGGAATTCTTTGTGTGCCATTAAAAAAGATCGCACTGCCCTGTGTGCCTCTGAAAAAGTTCAGCGGTTTTTAGCGCCACTGCTCCAACTTTTTTGTGCCCTCCATGCCACTGCCGTCAGTTTGGGCTCTAACGCCGTCAAACCACAGGTGTGAAAAGACAAAAATACCCTTAAGTCTAAATATGTCATTAATTTTTTCTGAGCATCTTAACGACTTCAAATGAAAAAACTCAAAACTAGAAAGTTGTAGATCTCGTCGAGATCTATAATTTTCATATAAAAATTATCTTCATTTAATTCTACAAAAAAATATGATTTGATATGATTAATATATGGGAATATTGTGTTCTTGCCCCTACTTTGATGTCCAATTGTGATTTTATCCTCGTTTTTGTCATCGTTGTGATTTTACCCCTACTTTGTAACTACTTAGACTCAGTTTACCCTTACTTTTAACTCTGTTAGTTGTATTTCGAATAAAAAATAAAAAACAACAAAAGCCTTCACAATAAGACCAAAAGACAACAATACCCCTTATGCACTCATACCCTCCCCAATCCCCCATCCTCAACCGTATCCTCTCTCTCTTCGCTCGATCTCTCTCTCCTTCTCCCTCCCGATGCGGATGAGGCGACGGCACGGCGGCCCGGTGCGGGCGCACCCCTCCCACGGCACGGCGGCACCTGGCCACGGCAAATCCAGCGCGGTGGCCCTCGGTGGCGGGCGCGGACAAGGCGACGGCGGCTGGCGCGAGCGGGCCGTGGCCGGTGCGACCTCGCTCCTCTTCTTCCTCCACCTCCCCTCCCTCGCGTCGCGACATTCTAGCTAGGCCCACGCCGCCGGCACACAGCGCAAGGCGCTAGTGGGGCGAGACTGCGCCGTCGGCCTGCGGCATGGCGTCGCGCGAGCGTACCTCGCTGGTGGTCGCCGGCGTTCCTCCCACCGCGCGCCGCCTCCTCCCGTCGATCCGCCTCTGCTCCTGTTCTCAATGAAACCCTAGCTGCCATTGCTGCACGAGCCGCACCTCGTGCTGCGTCGGCAGTGGCAGGGAATGTCGCCGCCGCGTCCGACGCTATGTTGGGACGGGAGGGATCAACCATCGAGCCCAGCCGGCGGCACGACGCCTCTCATTCTCCATTTGCAGCAGCCGCGGCGCACTTCGTCGGTCAGGTCTGGAAGCTAATGTTTTTTCCCTGATGCTTGGTGCAGCTGATGCAAGTCCGTGATGAGAAGCTATGGACAATTGAGTTAGGGATTAGCTATTTAGTCGCATGGAAACTTGCTTGGTGCTCAATGGATACACTTTCACTTGATGTGATATTATATATCTATATTTGCATGCTGTGTGGAATCATATGTAACAAGTTGTGTAATGATGCTGCCAAAATTTTTAAAAAAATAGGAGTAAAATCACAATGTATTTAGATAAGTAGGGGCAATTTCGCATGGGCAAACTTGTCCTTACTGAGCTCATTTGACACCGTTACCTGCTGTTCACGGAATAGGGGTAAACTTAAGCTTCGTTTTCAAAAAACAGGAGTAAAATCACAAACGATGACAAAAGCAGGGGTAAAATCACAACTGAACATCAAAGTAGGGACAAGAATGCAATAACCCCTTAATATATCTTAGAAAAATTATTTTTTTGCGGAATTAAATGAAGATAATTTTTATATAAAAATTATAGATATCGATGAGACCTATAACCTTCTAGTTTTGAGTTTTTTCATTTGAAGTCGTTAAGATGCTGAAAAAAATGACATATTTAGACTTAAGGGTATTTTCTTCTTTTCACACCTGCAGTTTGACGGCGTTAGAGCCCAAACTGATGGCAGTGGCATGGAGGGCACAAAAAAGTTGAAGCAGTGGCGCTGAAGACCGCTGAAATTTTCCAGAGGCACACAGAGCATTGCGATCTTTTTTAATGGCACACAAGGAATCCCCCCCCACCCCCAAATACTTGCCAGCCACAACACTACAGTGAACAGCATGGCAATCCCAATACTTCTGACTTCAGCAAGAAAAAATGCATATTTTCATTTCATATATACATATACATACAATTACTTCTTGTGCTACATCACTATATCCCTTTGTCTAGCTAAACTAGGAAATTATTTTACAAGAACCGATTATGCATCGTTGCAGAAAGCATTTAGAGAAATCTGACATAGACTGCATTGGCTAACACCACATGTGTAGCATCAGCCACCACTTTGCACAATATAAAAAGGCACAAGAATGTAAAATGAATATATTGCAACTGTAGAAAATTATTATTTATGCAACCGCTCAATACTTCAAGTGTATCTTTGCAACAGAGAATCAATCGGAGACATGAAACTAATAGTGTGACTTTAGACCATTCCTATTTTAAAGAACTAGCAGCAGTAAGTCTGCTTGAATGCATGGACGCATCATAGGCCTCCTCACGAACAATTCCCTTGCCATGCTTCTAACATTCTTCTCCATCCTGATTCCTACAGTATGAACTTTTTATATCAGTATACAAACAAACGAAAGAAAACAAACAGATCAAGTATGCATCAATCATCTTTTCGGGTGTACATGTCTAGAACTGATACCGTTGAAGCAATCTAGAGTAATAAAACTTAAGCACATTATGTATGAGCTGGTTAAATAGTTTGCACTCTAAATAGAAACACATTTCCAAATTTAGTTTGATTCCAAAAGATTACTAAATTAAGCTTCTATATCAATTATGAAATGTCACACCTTCATTGTAGATTAATTTTTTACAGAAAAATAAAATCAAATGAGTAAACCCATATTGTCATGGCTTTCATTCAGTTGATCTGATATGGAAATTACAGACAAGAGCCCTTCTAAAAAGAATTTAAAGAGCACAGAAGTAGCATCCCGTACTCCTAACTGTGACTTTTTATTGAGAAATTAGCCATGGATCAGATCTCAGTTGCAAGGGCAGAATTTCCGGTGATTACTGACAAATTTTTTTGCAAATATGCATTTTAGGACGATAAATTTCCTAGTACCCTATCCAATACAGATCTATCAGTTATAGACTACATTATATTATGATTAATCCATGGATCAGATCCTTGAAGAAGATTTTTCACCTAAGGCATTGGAAAATATTCAGGTGCGAAATCAGAGTATGTGTGCATCAAAATTGCTTGTATTTTTTATATAGACTAGTATAGTGCCTGTGCTAACGCTACAGGAAACAATACTTACAATTGATTTGGTGATAAAAGCTATAAAGAGAAATTTACGCTTCCATTAATCAATGTTATATAAGAAGCCAACTAAACAGCTATTTAGGATTGGCTAATTCCATGCTGCAAACTCTTCACTTCAAGAAAAAAATTGCAAACACACACCCCAATTGTTAATAGAATTCAATATCAACTAATATCAGTACATGAACATAGGCTTAACCAGTGCTAACGCTACAGGCCACATTAAGTCCAAAGTTCACATGGCAAAGAAGGAAATGACATATTGATATGATTTGGCAGAGTTTCTCCTTGTTTCAGTTCTACAAACATATGCAGACAGTATCAACTGGTGAAGGGTTCACGATACAGATGTTGGGAATGATAAGCTCAATGAAACAAAATGACTTTGCCATAATATCATCAATGATAATTAACATAAACTACAACATCAGAAAACACACAGGTAGTTGAACAATGAAATTGATTTATAATCATGTTTCATATTAAATAAATGAATTACCATCAAAATAATTCTTTGATCAGGTTGTTGGATGTTGCTTGAACTCAGCCCCCACATGCCAACCAGAATTATCTCAAAAAAGAAATGAAGCATTTACTTTGGATAAGGCCCTATTTTGTACATACACTGTCCAGTGAACACATTACATATTGTCAAAAGGAAAGTACTTGCCAGAGGTGTAGCAAGCAGCGACAGTCGATGCAGCATATTCTCTGCTGACCTAGTTTCACCTGTTCAAGTTGCCCTTATATTTTGTGTAGAGTTCCTTCAAGCCCTTTTTCTCAGAATCTGACCCACTGGCTATAAATCTGAATGAGAGCCAAAAGGACATTCTTTTAGAGACGGAGCTCGCTGCATGAGAGCCAAAAGAATGGTAGAAAACCATACTTACTCATATCTTGTTACATCCATGCTCGTTACAAGACCAAAAATGGCTTCACATGTGGCTTCAACTACACCAACAGCCCTCATAGCTCGGCTACAGCTTGGTGCCTACAGTATACTGCCACTTACGTGCTGTCATGATCTGAAAACAAAAACTGCCCTCCAAGTTCCATAAAGTTCAGATATAGTACTGGATAGTGGTCCATTGTAGGTGATTGCTCAATTGCATTCGTTTCTAAGAATTTGAGATAGGCCAGGGAACTAATTAAGAAGCACATAGCACATCCTAACTCTGTAGCTGAAAAGGATTATTGATGTTGAAACTCAGCTTTCTTCAAACATGTTTTACGTCTACTGCGTCATATTTGTAAAAATTTAAAACAGGTACAGCCCAGAGTTATACTACACCTCATCAATGATGAGTTCTTTCTTCTTTTTCCATGCCATTGCATCCTCGATATCATACGCACCCATCTGTTAATTCATTTTATTTGTCATCTGATGGTGGACGCACAAACAGGGAGAAATGTTGAAGGGTTGGCTATAGAACAAACTGTAATCCGGTGCTCCTTTTCTTTCTTGTTATAAATGCACGACATAAATCATCTGAAAGAACACAGAAAGAAGGGTATACCCAGAAATTAATTAATGTAAGCAAATAACTCCTCATCTGCAGGTGTTGTATCTCTTGCTGTGATATCTGGTAATACAAATCAAAGAACCAAAGTATATATATTTTGCTGGTGCCCAAAAAAATGTATATATTTTAGATTTTAAAAATTTTAGAGGTTAAGGTATTTAGAGGATATTTGCATTCCTGTTCATAAAAATAACTTTTGTAATTCAATTAAGTAATTTCTTATGCAATATATGTCCCAGAAGAGCTCAAGCATATTTGCATTTCTGTGCAGGGAAAAAAGATAGTTCTCAAATTCAACTTAGCAAAAGCAGAGGAGTCTACTGTTCCAGAAGCATCCCTTCCACCAGAAAGTAAAAGCATGCCATCGTCGCGTGCACTGCCATAGTGATTTAAATTAAAACCAGCTAAAAGGAAAACACTGTATACTTATACAAACATTTGAAATTCGATGCAGACACGATGACTACCAGACCTTAATCTGATGGTCGTTCCCTATTTCTTGGAGATGGTTCACACTGAGGGACAAATCCTAAACAAGCAAGCGACATAACAAGCACTAAATTATGGATGGAAAGCTACAATTCTATGTAATTTTGATCCGGGTTAAAATTACATACAAAGCTCACCACACTAAGCTGCAAGATCATTTTCATGAAAGAACTTGTGTTAGAGTATGGCAGGGGTCTATTGGGCCTGGGCTGGATGTATAGCTCATTAGTGTTAGGGTTAATTAGAGATAAGGGTCGCTTGCTTAGGAGCCAAGTAAACCTCTCTATATAAGGAGAGGAGATGTATCAATCTAATCAAGCAAGAATTAAGAAGGAAAACCCTCCCCTCTTGCCCGGCCGTGGGCAAACGCCCCGCGGCCGGCTGTCTCTCACCCTCGCAGCCATAGACATGAACAGTACCCGCGGTCAGCCGCCGTCGCTCCCCTCGACTCTCTCCTCTCAATCCTAACAGCCACATAACAATCTAGTATCAGAGATCTCTGGTTCGATCATGTGGTTCGATTATGTCCACCTGCTGCCACCAGCGTCTTCGTCGGCGCTGCTGCCACATATCAGCGCGTCGGTATTGGGCGCGCTAGCGTCCTCAGGGGCGATCGCGCCCTCTGCCCCGGCGCCGTCGTCTCCCGCCGCCCTCATCCTCACCCCGGAGCAGATGACGGCCGCAATCCTGGAATTACGGCAGGCCGTGGCGGGCATCGAGGCCTTCCTCGTCGCGACCACGGCGCCGGTCATCTCGTACCAGTATGGGATGCCCTACGACGGGACTGCGACGACCTCGTTCCCAGCCACGCCGCCGCCGCCGTTCCAGGACGTGTAGGCAACCGCCCCGATTCCCATCCACCAGCCATGGATGCTGCCCTCTCCTTCGCCGATCCCGTCTTATGCTATGGCATTGACGATGGGGCCGGTGTACACGATGGCGAGCACCACGGCGGCCACGACAACAGTCGCTCCAGCGCCCACCACCGGCGCTGTTGTCCTTTCCGGTGGGCCGAGCCTCCAGCACCCATTCACTAATGGCATCTTCTATAGGGGCACCGGCGTCCAGCAGATCCAAGACGCGGGCGAGAAGTCGCGGCAGATCGAGCAGCTGACGGACATCGCGATGGAGCCGGCGGGGAAGATGCTTACACACCAGGTGTCGGCGGTTTCCCCCACGGGTGACGGGCATGCTGTTTTTCTCGCGGGCGGCGAACTCAAACTCTGCGGTGGCGGCGGTTGGGGAGGCGCTCCCCTCGTCGTTCTCCGTCGAAAGCCATCCGCTCTTCTTTGTGCGGTGCAGACCAGCATCCGTCCGGCGGGGAGAAGGCATGGTGTCACCGGCGGGAGCTCACTGCCTAGCACCGCTGCTTTCCGCCACCGACCACCGCGAGGGCGCCTTCGCTGGCCGTTGTTGCGACTACTTCTAGGTGGCCATATACATGCACCCCTTTCGTCAAGATGGTGTCCATGGGATCCAGGTGGTTGTCTACGTGCAGCTTATGCGTCGGGCTGGTGTCCGCCATCAATTGAAGAGGCTGCAAAAATAAAGAGTTCACATCTATTTGAGGTTGATAATAATAAAATAAGCCGAGATGTAAAATGTTTATTTTTAAGTGATAGGTTTGTGTCCAGACATCGTTATAAGTTGGTTAGGTTGCAGCTCGAGGACGAGCTGCATGTCCAGGGTGGAGTGTAGTGTTAGAGTATGGCAGGGGCCTATTGGGCCTAGGCCGGATGTATAGCCCATTAGTGTTAGGGTTAATTAGAGATAAGAGTCGCTTGCTTAGGAGTCAAGTAAACCTCTCTATATAAGGAGATAAGATGTATCAATCTAATCAAGCAAGAATTAAGAAAGAAAACCCTTCCCTCTTGCCCGGTCGTGGGCAAATACCCCACGGCCGGCTCTCTCTCACCCTCGCAGCCATAGACATAAACAGTACCCATGGGTACTGTAGAACGCCAGCCGTTGTCTCTCCCGTAGACTCTCTACTCTCAATCCTAGCAGCCACATAACAACTTGCCTTGGTTATCCATAACACTAAGAAAATTATTTCCCTTCGATTGATTCATGGCAAGAAGCTTTGCTGTAATACTGCTTATTTTTCTTTCTCACCTTTTTTATTCTTAGCTTCTTAACTGTACTTGTTTTGTTTTAATTATAACATTGCCATTCTTTTCTCTAATAATTTAATGTTTCCTAACTTATCTGAAATGGTCAGTTCAGTTTAAAGAATAAACCACCGGTTCAAAGAACAAAACATATTGATATTAGAAGTAACAAATCAACTTGTAGTAAAGCAGATTTAGCTATTTGTATCAGCATTAACAATTGAAACAGTTCACTAAGAAGATCAAGAGAGGAATAATCGTTCAAAAAGAAAGCTGAACTAACCAGTTAGTGCTTCACAAAGATTTTAGGTCGGAAAGGTAGCACAATTTATCGCTCGGTCTCAGGTCGACGGTCGATACTCAAGAAATCTTATCTCGGACCATTTTCCTCTCTTCCACTGGTTCAGGCACATTACAAATCACAACCTACTTCAGAAAAAAAAAAAAATACCCTAATACAAGCAAGATGACAAGCAAATGCTACAACTTACTCAAGGGAGGGAGAAGTGATTGTGTTCCTTCCTGGCGTTTGTGCAGTGATGACGGCAAGCAGATGGGGCGGAGTACGTGCGACAGTGTAGGCTGGAGGCCGGACAATGGGATGGTGCGGAAGGGGCTAGGGGAGGGCTGCGTCGGCAGGGGTGGATGGACTGCAGGGACGGTGGCAGCGGGTGGATGGTGTGCGGGGCTGGGTGGCGGCGGTGGGTGGAGTGCGTCGGATGCTGCAAGATGCGAAGACCAAGGAGGTGGATTTGGGGCGAGTAGATAGGTAGGCATGGGTGGTGGAAATTTTCCAATTGCGCGCGCGGAGTCTGCAGCAAGGGAATTGGTAAAACCAAATCTCCATTTGTGGTGGAGATGCGTGCGGCACGGCGGGAGAGGATGGCGATGCACGCGGCACTGCGGGAAAAAGAAAAAAAAAAGACTGCGACGTCTCCCAAAATTTAGTGCGGGAGGTTTATTAGTGTCGAACGAAGCACATGAATATCTTAGTTTAACCTTTTTGATGAAGCTTTTTTTTATCGGATGTCTCCGGAGAGACTTGATGAAACTGTTTTGAGATGTAACAATGATGTAGTTTGGCAGTTAACACGGTTTGGATTTTTTGAGAAAACTTAGGCACTGTTATATAAAATAATTAAGTAGGTAATAAAACTATATACCAAAATATACAAGTAATTTATTTTTTTCTTTCAAACTCCTATATGATCTTAAAATGGAGGTACGAAGTTCTCATATTTTAAATTGTTTAAATAAACTCAGATAGAAAAATGATCAAAGCCAAAGTTGTATAACTCGATGAGATATACAATTTCGCAGTTGGCGTCATTCGAAATCATTTATGGACACAAAATTCTTTTTGTAGTTCTCCACTATTACAGAACTGACTTTCACTGCCGGCCATCATTGTCACTTTTTGGCTTGAACTAGTAGTAATATTGGGTCATTACTGTCGGTTTTTCACTTGAAGTGACAGTATAGGCTGCATGAAAAACTTCATAACTTTCTCATATGATGTTCGATGAAGACGAACTTTATATCAAAATTGTAGCACCAAGATCCACAACTTTGTGGCTCAAACTTTTTTGATTTCAGGTTGTTTGGATATCCAAATATGTATCATAAGATTTTATAGAGTTAATACCAAAGTAGTTTAAATGCTCTAAAGTCATAAGTGAGTGTGTAGCGGTAGAAAAGGATCTCGGATGGAAACAACCAAAACAAAAGTTGTAGATCTCAAAAAGTTATGCAACTTTGTAGTTTACAACTTTTTTATTTGATGTTGTTTTGATGCTAAAATATTTTTCGCAAGATTTTACAGAAGTCAATACCAAAGGAATCCAGGCTCTATGGTCATAAGTGAGTGTGCAATTGTAGCTAAGGATATCGGATAGAAAAGCGACCAAAACAAAAGTTATACATCTCGAAAAGTCATGCAACGTTGTAGTTGGCAACTTGTTAGAAAACATCTATCCAACGAAAATTATGTTTGACAACCTTTTTCAGACCATTTTTTGGTTCCTTGGAAACCTCATCCCCGGCAGTGATGATGTTTTAAACCTGCAGTGAAGGTTGATTCTATTGTAGTGCTCATATTTTGAAATTCAAATTTTTTGAATTGTTTGGACGAGCTCAGATGGATAAAGAATATAAACCAAAGTTATAGATCTCGATGAGATATACAACTTTTTAGTGAACAACTATTTCATTTAAAATAACTTCATTTTGGGTCTCAAAATTCTTTTTGAAGTTGTCATATTTTAAAATTAAAAAATTCAAATTGTTGGAACAAGGTTAGATGGGAAAATGACCCAATGAAAGTTGTAGGTCTTGTGAGATAGATTATACTTTTAGATAAAATTGATACCAATTTTCATATTTTTATAATTTAAAAAGAATTGTTTATGATTTAGCAATTTACATGTTGTTTTATTGTTTTTAAAAAATACATAAATACTCAAAATCACCTTTTAAACTAGGAAAGGGCCAAAGTTGTCCGGTTTTGATAGTTACAGGATAAGAGGACTATGCATATCTGGTTTTGGAGTTCGATGGCTAAATCTAGACATCCACAAAAGTTTGTGGGCTAGAAATAGATTCTTTTCCAAATTAAAATAGGGTATTTGTCTTATAACCTATGCTTGTATTTGGTTATTATTTTTGTTATGTTTGGTGTTTATAATAGGTTCTATCCATTTTAGAGCACGTCTCTTTAATTTTCCCTGTACTCACTACCATGTTTCGAGATCGCTCAGGTTTTGTGGGATTCAAAAACAAAATATTTAAATAAAAGTTACAAGAAAGTGTATACATGAGTACAAAAATTGTTTTAAGGCATACTCGTAGAGATCCAATTCACTTCTTCCCCGCTTGGATGTGTTTGGCATTTAGGATGGTCATGGTCCTTTCATCTTTAAATTGCAAACAAATATATATATATAGAATAGCACCCTAATATGTTATTTAGCAACTTTGGCGTGACAAATCAAAAGTTTAAACCTCAACCCTATAGTTTTCTTAGTCACTTGTATAGTATTGATTGTTATTGGTCTTCAAAATATTCTTTTGTTAATAATATTTGTTACTTTTGTAGTAGTACTAGGTATTTTTAGAAAATTATAAATTTTAGTATGGAATCAAACTACATTCTAATGAAAACCCGTCAATTTTTTATAAGAAAATCAATATGAGGTGATTAACATAACAATAAACTATACCATTTTTATTAAAAAGTGTAGTACTCCCTCTATTTCAAATTTTAAGACGTTTTGGTTTTCTTGATACATAATTTTTGTTATGCACAGAGCACGAGCGAGTGAAAAGAGCGATGGATGAAAGCGACGTATGTATTCTCTGATGAATAGTAAAAATGTATATACATGCCCAGAATGAGCCGTTGCTTATTAGGGACATAAGTCATCGACACTCTCTATATGGCCAAAAGGAACCATCATTAGCAGTTGCTAATGACATGGATAATCCTAATTGATCATTAAAATAAATCTTAACAATATGAAGGAGTACAATTGTCGGGTTTATAAACCCGGGGTCCCTCGCGGACCGGCTTCCCAACAAAGGTTCGGCCTAAACAGACAACGTGCAACGCATGGGCCGGCCCAAGTATCTAAACAACAGGCCAGAAGGGCGATCCAATCACCGACCGAAAGGTCTGGCCGAGGAGGAGCGGCGCCCGTTTTCTGACTCCGGCCCATCTCTCCGACCGGAGCGCTCACTTCGATCTCCAGCCCACCTCCGGACTGCCTCTTTGACCGGAAGGTCTGGCCAAAGCACTACTTCCGACTCCGACCCCACGTCTCCGACTGGGGTACGCCAAAACCCTACTCACTGATTTTCTCTGACAGGCGCAATCAGAGCCGACTGGGACCAACCGACCGGGGACGCCCGTTCGGTAAGGACCAGGAAACGGACAAAGAAAGTAAGGCAGGGCGCACAAGTCAAACCTCAATACCGGAGACCATACTCTGTACACCTGCAGAAACAGTACTCTGCAACCTCTCTGACACAACAGAGCCCAAACAGTGTTGTAGGCGCCGACATTTTCCCCTACAGTATTGTGGGCGCCATTAACTCCCATACGGTGAGCCCCCCCACATGCCTCTGGGCATTGACAATGTTGTGGGCACCGACTTTTATCGTACCAGATGAATATGGTAAAAACCCTTTGCATGCCTCTCAGGTATCAACAATGTGGCAGGCATCGACGTCTGCCATACCCGAAGAAGACAACACTACCTCCCACGTGCATATGACCTTCAACAATATTGTGGGCGCTTACCATCATCCTTTACCCATCGACGTGGGCAACAAGGCTCAGTAACATACGTACTCTCTCCCTCACACTTGTAAGGCCATCCCCTTCATCTATAAAAGGGGATGCGCTCTCTCCCAACAGGGTAAGTTGATCCAGATTCATCAGATCGATCAAGTTCACTAGTACACAACCATAGAACCGCCAGATTCGAACCACAAGCACACGCTTGAACACTTAGCTTATAGCAGGGCTCCCGTCACTCTCGACCATTCTGACCGGAGTCCGACCGGACCTCTTGTACCCTCATCTTTCTCCCTCTCTTTTATAACCCCATTACAAACTTCGAGCACCTGGGCTTAGGAATAAAGTCACCGACCGACTCAAACTAGATGTCGGGCACATTGCCCGAGCCAGTATAAACCCTGTATCATTGTGTGCTAGGCCACCTCCGATCATAACGTACGACAAAACTACAAATATTTACTTGTGGGTCACTTTCTGCACCGACAACAACCTTACTTTTGCATATTTATTTATGTAAAATAAATTTAGTTATAATTTTGTTTCATAGTATCTTTTAAAAACTTAAAACCAATTAAGTAAAAAAACCCATGAATAAAAAATAATAAAATAATAGAAAAATTTGGACGGCCGCTGAGATTAACAAGGTACAGTAGTACCAAAACTTTTGGCGGCCAAATTGGCGCCCGTCAAATCCAAATCCCTTTTCTTAAATATCTGCCGTGCCGCAAACCTCTTCATCTCCCGCACTCCCCTCAGATCCGCCCGGTGCTCTAGCCTCCAGTCCGCCGCCGCCTGGCTCACGAGCAAATTTTCGCCCACTACCACCCGCCGCCGCGCTCTGGCTCTAGGCATGGAGGTCCCGACCTAGGAGCGGAGGCACGTCCTCGGCGGCGCAGGCGTGGACATGGAGGCATGTCCCAGAGCGGAGGCACGACCTCGGCAAGCACAGAGGCGCATCCCCGGTGGCAGCCCTAGCGCGGGCGCCGGCTTTCCCGGCCCGGCGTTGGTGCTAGTGTTGTTGTGTCCTCCCTGACTTCTACGACTGGCCACAACGACGACTCAAGACGGTTGGTTATCCTTTTTTTCTTTTTTTTAAATGAAGTTATCCTTTTTCGCCCTCCGTCTCTCATTCCATTGAACAGGACAAATCACAAATCTACAGGAGGCATGGCGCAGCCCATCGTATCTTGTGGCAGAGGCAAGAGTGTTGCTGTGAGACTGAGGTTGGTGTTGCGGTAAGTCCTAGCATCATGACCATTGCTGAGATGATGTATGTTGGAGTTGTTCCAAATTCACTCCAAGATATAGGCCGGGCTTCTGATGGAGCGGAGCGGAGGCCCGTCGCCGGAGGCTTGGGCCGGAGCGTAGCGGAGTCTGAAGCTCAGCCCATCAGGTCTCGCCCCTGTGCTCGGGGGGTGCACCCTTGCTAGGGTTTCGTGGAGACTTGATTCTCTTGTAAGCCGCCATAGGCGTGTAACCCAAAACTCTTGAGATAGTGAGATTGTTGCTGGCTGGTGCCCGTGGTTTTTCCCCTTCACATCGGAGGGGTTTTCCACGTTAAATCGTGTGTCTCCTCTGTGGCTTGATTCTTTACTTCATATTCCTATACGTCGTTCATAACAAGTGGTACCAGAGCTTTGGTTGCTGTTAGGGTTCATGACGACGTCGATGAAGTTCGATCTTCCGCTGCTGAACTACGACACGCGGTTCTCGCTATGGCAAGTCAAGATGCGGGGGATTCTGGCGCAGACTCATGACTATGATGAGGCGCTGGATAGTTTCGGAAAGAGGAAGGCCTAGTGGACTCCAAAAGAGATCCGCAAGGATCAGAAGGCGCTCGCCCTAATTCAGTTGCATCTTCATAATGATATTTTGCAGGAGTGTCTGAAAGAGAAAACTGCTGCAGAACTATGGCTGAAACTGGAATCGATCTGTATGTCCAAGGATCTAACCAGTAAGATGCAGATGAAGATGAAGCTGTTCACCCTGAAGATGAAGGAGGAGGATTCAGTGATGAGCCACATCGCTGAATTCAAGAAGATCGTCGCCGACCTAGTGTCGATGGAGGTGAAGTATGATGATGAGGACTTAGGTCTTTTACTGCTATGTTCTTTGCCAAATTCGTATGCAAATTTTCATGACACCATACTTTTGAGCCGTGATGAACTAACCCTAAAGGAAGTTTATGAGGCTCTCCAGTCTAGGGAGAAGATGAGAGGCATGGTGCAGAATGACGGGACGTCGTCCTCCAAGGGCGATGCTTTGCATGTGAGAGGCAGAACTGAAAACAGATCCTCCAATGATGGCAATGATGGAAGAAAGAACTACGAAAGGAGAGGCCGTTCAAAGTCCAAGCCGCATGGTAATAAAAAGTTCTGTGTTTATTGCAAGCTGACAAATCATAATGTTGAGGATTGCAGAAAAGTACAGAATAAGGAGAAGAGGAAAAACAAGTCGGCTGGTAAGGTCTCTGTTGCTGCTGCTGCGTCTGATGATGATTCTGGAGATTGTCTGGTAGTATTTGTTGGTTGTGTTGCTGGTCATGATGAATGGATTCTCGATTCTGCATGTTCATTTCATATTTGTACTAACAGAAATTGGTTTAGCTCGTATAAGCCTGTGCAGAAAGGGGATGTTGTGCGGATGGGAGATGATAACCCGTGTGACATTGTGGGGATTGGATCAGTTCAGATCAAGACTGATGATGGCATGACATGCACGGTGAAAAACGCGTCGGTATATACCGAGATGTCCAGAAATCTTATCTCATTGAGCACGCTTGATGCGAAGGTTACAAATATTCCGGTTCAGATGGCGTTCAAGGTATCAAAAGGTTCTCTTGTTTGCTTGAAAGGTGATCTTAATTCGCAAAAAGTTATATGTCCTTAGAGGGTGTACTTTACCTGGTTCTCGATTCCACTTGCTGCTGCATATTACTAATGATGAACCTAGTAAAACTAACCTATGGCATATATATGCGTTTGGGACATATGAGTCACCATGGTATGGCATAATTGATGAAGAGAAACATGTTGGATGACTGCACTTCGAGTAAAATAAAGTTTTGTGAGCATTGTATTTTCGGGAAGCATAAAAGGGTACATTTCAACACTTCTGTTCACACCACTAAAGGTACTCTTGATTATGTTCATGCTGATTTATGGGGCCCTTCCATAAGTCCTCACTTGGTGGTGCTCGTTACATGCTTACAATTATTGATGATTACTCTAGAAGGGTTTGGCCTTATTTTCCTGAAACAGAAAGATGATACTTTTGCTTGCTTTTAAGGACTAGAAAGTAATGATAGAAAGGCAAACTGAAAGGAAGGTAAAATTGCTTCGTCTTCGATAATGGTGGAGAATTTTGTTCGCGTGAATTTAATGATTATTGCAGATCGGAAGGCATTGTTAGGCATCACACCATACCCCATACTCCACAACAGAATGGTGTGGCGAACGCATGAACGTAACAATCATGTCCAAGGCCCGTTGCATCTTTGTCTAATGCCGGGATGAGCAAGCATTTTTGGGCTGAAGCCGCTAATATCGCTGCACATTACTTGTTAAACAGTGCCTTCTATTCCACTAAATAAAAGAACTCCCATTGAGGTATGGTCCGCATGCGCTGCTTGATTATTCATAGTTGAAAGTTTTTGGATGCAATCGCTTATGCTCATGTTGATAATGGAAAATTAGAGCCTAGAGCTGTTAAGTGTCTTTTCCTTGGTTATAGTTCGGGAGTCAAAGGCTATAAATTGTGGAATCACAAAAACAGGAAAGACTTTTATGAGCGTATGTTGTTTTCAATGAATCTGTGATGTTTCTTGACGGTTTGCCCTCGGATCATGTTCCAGAAAAAGAGTCAGCGCAGCGTATGCATGCTGCAGTGGAGCATGTTGATGATGATACTGTGTGCGAGGTGGAGCTGTTGATGATGAGCATGGTGACCATGATAATGATGTTGCTTGAGGATGATGCTCATGATGATGTTCAAAGAACTCCTCCTATTTTGCGCTTAGAGGAGGATTTACCTATTGCTCAACGCAAGTCAAAAAGGACAATTGCACCTCCTAAGCGTCCTATTGAAGAGTGTAATTTGTCTTACTATGCTTTGAGTTGTGCTTTGAAATGTGGAGAATGTTCATGAGCCAAAAACCTATAAAGAAGCTATTCGTTGTGGTGATACCGAGAATTGGATTTCGCTATGCATGAGGAGATGCGATCTCTTGAGAAGAACGAAGACATGGGAGATTGTACCTTTGTTTAAGAATAAGAAGACCATTAGCGCAAAATGGATCTTCAAGAGAAAGGAGGGTTTATCTCCAAGCGAGCCTCCAAAGTATAAGGCAAGGTTAGTTGCTAAAGGCTACAATCAAATTCGGTGTTGACTACAATGATGTGTTCTCTCCAAAGGTAAAACACAGTTCAATTCGTACTTTCCTTAGTATTGTTGCTTCACATGATCTTGAGCTTGAGCAATTAGATGTGAAGACTGCGTATTTTTGCATGGAGAGCTTGAGGAAGACATATACATGGACCAACCGAAGGGTTCACAATTCACAGCAAGGAAAAATATGTGTGTAAGTTGAAGAGATCCTTGTATGGTTTGAAACAGTCCCTCGTCGAGGAACAAGCGGTTTGATTCATTTATGTTAGCACACGCTTTAAAAGATCTAAGTATGATAGTCATGTTTACATCAAGCATGTTAATGGATCACCTATATATTTGTTGTTATATGTTGATGATATGCTGATTGCTGCCAAGAGTAAGATTGAAATCATTAAGTTAAAGAAGCTATTGAGTAGTGGTTTTGATATGAAATATCTTGGTAGTGCTAAGAAAATTCTTGGTATGGAAATTAGTAGAGACAGAAAATCTGGTTTGCTATTTCTTAGTCAACAAAATTATATCAAGAAAGTTCTTCAGCGTTTCAACATGCAAAATGCTAAGGCTGTTAGTACCCTTATTGCACCTCACTTTAAGTTGTCAGCTACTCAGTGTCCTAGTACAGATGCAGAGATTGAATACATGTCAAGGGTTCCTTATTCTAGTGCTGTTGGGTCTTTGATGTATGCCATGGTTTGCTCTCGTCCAGATTTGTCATATGCTATGAGTCTTGTTAGTAGATATATGTCTAATCCTGGCAAAGAATATTGGAGGGCAGTTCAGTGGATTTTCAGTACCTCGAGAGGCACAAAGCAGATTCTGTTTAAAGTTTGGAAGAATTGATAAGGGTCTTATTGGCTATGTGGATTCTGATTATCTTTCTTGATCCGACAAAGCGAAGATCACTTACAGGTTATGTGTTTATCGCTAAGGCGAGCCTTTGTGAGTTGGAGGGCTACTTTATAGTCGGGTTGTTGCTTTGTCTACTACTCAAGCGTAATATATAGCTATTTGTGAAGCGTGCAAAGAATTAATTTGGTGAAAAGGTTTGTACACCGAGAGCTTTGTGGAGTTGAATCTTGCATAAGTTTGCATTGTGACAAATCAAAGTGCAATTTACCTCACTAAAGATCGGATGTTCCATGAGAGAACTAAGCACATAGATATCAAGTATCATTTTGTGCGTGATGTGATTGAAGAAGGTAAGCTGAAGGTATGCAAGATTAGTACTCATGATAATCCTGCTGATATGATGACAAAGCCTGTTCCTGTTGCTAAGTTTGAGCTGTGCTCAAGCTTAGTTGGTTTAATTGGATAGTCCAAGAGACTATTGTTGGCACCAGTGGTTTTCTATCTTTGTTATGTTCAGGATGAAGGGTTGATTTATGATACAAGATGAATTTGTCTCAAGGTGGAGTTTGTTGGAGTTGTTCCAAATTCACTCCAGGATATAGGCCGGGCTTCTGACGGAGCGGAGCGGAGGCCCGTCGCCGGAGGCTTGGGCCGGAGCGTAGCGGAGTCTGAAGCTCAGCCCATCAGGTCTCGCCCCTGTGCTCGGGGGGTGCACCCTTGCTAGGGTTTCGTGGAGACTTGATTCTCTTGTAAGCCGCCATAGGCGTGTAACCCAAAACTCTTGAGATAGTGAGATTGTTGCTGGCTGGTGCCCGTGGTTTTTCCCCTTCACATCGGAGGGGTTTTCCACGTTAAATCGTGTATCTCCTCTGTGGCTTGATTCTTTACTTCATATTCCTATACGTCGTTCATAACAATGTATTGGTACTACATTCTTGTTCAATTGTTTTGCTGCTAGGTTCCATCTACCGCTGGTCAAGAGATGTAGGCCATGCTTTTTGCAGTTTTTTCCAGAGATGAAACTACTAATACAATTAGCACCATGAGTGCTGAGTGCTGACTGAACTCAACATTACTTTTTTCTTTAATTTGAGACACTACATGTATACAGTGCTAATCATACCTTTCTCAAGAATGATTGGAATCACCTGGACCGAGAGATGCATCAGCAAGTGCTGAATCATCTTTGGAGTGTTGCAGTAAAATGTTGTTCTTTATTATTTTTACCTTCAAGCAGTGCTGCCTGAACCTGCTGCCGGTTATATGCAGCTCAGGTTTAGACTTCTAGTTCGCTTAATTGTTGCCGGTGAAAGTATGCCAGTAGTAGGTAAGCTATCACAGGCCTTATGCCATTGCAAGGTCAGTCTTGCTATGATCCATCAATGGCATTACCTTATGCATGATCTGAGCATCTCATTTGTTAATTCAATATTTTCCAAATGGCAGGCTTGGTATTATTGCTGTGAAAGTGCTTTGCTAAAATGCTAAGTGTTACAGTAGTTGTTAATTTGGTAAAACCTAATAGGCTAGTATTAAAACTGAAAATAGAAAAATGTCTCAAGCTAATGGATTGATGCCTACCTATGTGTTACCGAGGGTCTTTAACAAAGCAAAAGACTGATGTTGGGAACTATTCAAAAAATTACAAAATGGCGTATGCTTTTCCTAAATACATTATTAGTTTAATTGTTCATGCTTCTCATGATATATGCTTTGAGCAAATATGATAGTTTGACATGTGGTTCCTAGTTATTCAATTTCAGATTTTTAGTAGTTGGGATGGGAAAATTCAAGAAACGTCATCCTACCCTTTCGTGTTTGCAAACAATAATAAATGGTCAATTTGGACTGTTCATTCTTATTATTTAGCTTTTCAGTTTCAATATATGTTCTACAATGCAGATTCAGAGTACTAATAGGAGTTCACTTTGTAGGCGAGATGATTGAAATTGGACATACTTTGTAGGCGATATGTGGTTGAAATAGGACTCACTCAGAATACAAGGTAATAGCAATTGAGTTACTCACAAATTGCTAAAATCCATGAGGTTTCAATAAATACCTTGATTTGTTTGTGGAGTTGTTTCTTCATTTATATTTAATATTTCTTATGTTCTATCAGTTTTTTGCTAGATTCACTTGAAATTCATCTACATAATTTTCTTACTGAAATGGCATATAAAAAGTATAGTCAATTATCTTCCTAACAAGAGCATTTTAGTTTCAGCTCTTTATATAAATCGATGGATGCTTTAACCAGTTAACTAGTTCTAGAATTGGCAACCTGATATACTGGTGTTGCTGCAAAATAGGAATTGATTAGTACAAAGATATATTTGCCTTGCAGCCTTGCATTGAAGCATTGATTAGCATGGTTTCTACGAATTTCAATAGTATGATAAAACCATAACCAATTCCAGTAAACTGTAAGAGAGCTAATTATTAGTAATCAACTTTTAAAATGCAGGCTAACCAAGGTACCAATGAAACCACAGATTGAGGTTCCTGCCCAACCAACCTTGTGGGAAAGAAATGAAATGTCTCCACAGATTAAAGAAACATGCAGCAGGTAATTTCATATTGCAACTTGTTTACAGCCGTCATGAATTAGTGCACAGTGCGAGTCCTATTTTTTTCATGTAATTTATTGA